TGGCTGGTTGCACACTCACCTTGTACAAGTTATATGTAATGCATTAACTAAAAACACAAATAAAGGCAGTAAGCTCCATAACATCGGCCTTAATAACTAAAAAAAAAATAAAATAAAAATAAACTTCAGTTTATTTATATGTATTGTAATTTACGCATCTCTACTTCCCCAAAACAATGATAAATAAATAAGATATCCAAATAATCATCATTGTGTACTGCATAAGCATAAGATTATACTTGAAGTATTATTTTCATAGATTAAGCTTGCTCCAAGCAGGTTAAAACAATAAGAATCAACTTGTTTTAATAATGTATATTATTATTGTTCGATTAGATGACTTTATTAAAACAAAGAAAAAATGTATAGGAATCTGTTCACAATTATTACAGGCCTTATATTTAGAATTAAGATGAATTTGTAGTTAAATGCCTAATCCATTCTAATTAGAGTGTCCAGGGTACTGCTACTCTAACTAAAAAATTCTGCTGCAAATTATCGTTAAATTAGCAAATTCTGCGGCGACGTATAAATAATACTTTAAAAAAACAAAATTATGACAAAAAAAAATTCTAAAGAAAATTCCAATTTCATCACAATAGGCATATTCACCAATAATTTTTATTCTGCTCGCAGAATTCTGTATGAATTCTGTGCTGATTCTGCCGCCGCAATATCCTGGATACTCTAATTCCAATTACTCTATCCGATTGATACTATTTCAAATAAATGAACTAACCAAATATGTCTCACATAAATGTCTTCGCCAAGAAGCGATAGTGTAGAGCTACCATAAAAAATTTGAGGCCCTTTTACTGCTCTCGCAGCTGCAGAGCCCAATTAGTACTAAAAACAAAGGGTCCTTGTACTGCAATCACAGCTGCAGAGCCCATTGCAACTTACCAGAACATTCAGGTTGATAAACTAACACCCTATATGAAAGGGCAAAACAAAGAGCCAGCCTTTTACAAGGTGAGTGATAGCAAAAAGAAAGATAGCCTTTTCTAACCAAGAAAAATCTTTAAATATTTTGTGACAACCATATTTCTTAACTCAACAACATCATACTAGGGGTATATGATTTCCTTTTCTCATCATCATGAAAAAAAAAGTTTTTAATATTATTTAAAATAGACATTTAAGGAATTAACTTACAATTACCAGTAATATCAAGATCGATTAACTCTTCAAGAAGTAATGATTCAGAGATGTTATTTTGTTATATGCAAAGATATTCGGATCTGATAATAAAGATACATTGACATTAGTATTTCTTTCTTGTTGCTGAATACTATTGTCTGAATAGATGGGCTGACATACATCAAATACTTATTAAGGTTTTAGAACTATTCAATTTATTTAATTGTAACAGTAACTGCAGAACTATAATAAAATAAACCGTCTTTCTTACCTTTCTTTAATGTTAAACTCGAAGCTAAACTCATAAATGTTTGCACATTGTTCTCACAAATTGACAATAAAAACAATATTAACAACTTAATAATTGTAAAATTATTGTGTATAAAGAATCATACGCATGAATTGGAAGAATGTATATTTCACCTAATATATAATGATTAATTAATGTTATTAAAATTTTTTTTTGTATATTAACTCGAAGTTTTTTGTATTGAAATTACCACAAGCTTTAATTGAATTTCTTTACTCAAAAAATATATAACGATCAAATGTTCGAAGAAAAAATTGTTGGCGAAGGCAGTATACCGCCTGAATTTGAGGATACCTATAATTTTGATGAATATAGCAATTTTTTAGATATTGATAACAATTTAAATATTAATAACTTAAGCGAAGATGATAATTTAAATGAGGATGATAATTCAAGTGAAGATGATAAT